AAAGTATTTATTTGTATTTGATTTTTTTCTACATCAATATCACCAGTGACTTACTAATTATTTAATTATTAACTAATTTATTAGTCTGTTCTAAGAACCTTTCCTGTTGTTTAGCTTCTATTACGGTTTTGTACTCTATTTCATTTATTTCTCTTGTCTTTACTCTCTTTTTCATTCATTCTTCCAGGTTTACTCTATTCTCTTTCCAAGTATTTCAGTTACATTAACTCACTAATTTTCAGTCTTTTTTTCTTTATAAAATTTCCCCACAGGTAGACCTTAGCAAATTCTACAAGTTTATATGTAGGTAATTATTATTCAGTTCTATTTTTAAATTTACAACATTTTTTCTTTGAACCACAAATCAGTCATAATATGTATTTTTAATTTCCAAACATGGAGTTTTTAAAATTGTTTTCCTGCACTGACTTTCAGCTTTATTTGGACTGGGATCAGAGAATAATCCTCTATGACTTCCTTTATATGAAACTTGCTGAGACTTGCTTTGTGGCCCAATATATGGTCAATTTTTACAAGTGTTCCAGGTATGCTTTAAAAAAATGTGTATTCTGTATTTTTTGGGGTAGTACTCTAGATTTGTCCATCAGGTCAAATTTGTTAATCACATGAGTCAAATTGTCTATATCCCATGGTTACTTTATCTGCTTTTTTCCTGTCATTTAAGAGAAATGTATTTAAATTGTCCTATTTTGAATGTGGATTTATCTATTTTTTCCCTGTAATTCTATTTGTGCTTTATATATTCTGAGACTTTTATTAGGTACACACAAATTTAGACTTTTTTCCCCCTGAGGGAATTGAATCTTCTATTTAATGATCCTCTTCTTCCTCATACTCTTTTTTTCTTTTTAAGTCTATTTCACCAATATTAACATATCCACTTTCTTCTGGTTAGTACTTGTCTAGTATATGTTTTCCCTCCAATTATAGACATTCCTTGATTTATTGTACCTCATTTTACTGTGCTTCACAGATACTGTCTTTTTTTTTAACAAATTGAAGGTTTGTGGCAACCTTGCATCAAGCAAGTCTATTTTTCCAACAGCATGTGCTCACTTCCTCTGTGTCACATTTTGGTAATTCTTGAAATACTTCAAACTTTTTCATTATTATTACATTTGTTATGGTGATTTATGATTAGTGATCTTTTATGTTACTATTGTAATTTGGGGTACCGCAAACCACACCCATGTAAGACGGCAAACTTAATAAATGCTGTGTGTGACTGCTCAACCCACTGGCCATTTTCCTGTCTCTCTCTCTCTCCTTGGGCCTCCTTATTCCTGTGACACAACAATATTGAAATTAGCCCAATTAATAATGCTACAATGGTCTCTAGGTGTTCTCTTACTTTAACTCAAAAGCTAGAAATGATTAAGCTTAGTGAGGAAGGCACGTCAAAAGCTGAGATAGGCTGAAAGCTAGGCCTCTTGTAACAGTTAGCCAAGTTGTGAATGCAAAGGAAAAGTTCCTGAAGGAAATTCAAAGTGCTACTCCAATGAACATAAAAATGATATGAAAGTGAAACAGCCTTACTCCTGATATGGACAAAATTTTAGTGATCTGGATAGAAGATCAAACCAGTCACGACATTCCCTTAAGCCAAAGCCTAAACCGGAGCAAGGCCCTAACTCTCTTCCATTCTGTGAAGGTTGAGAGAGGTGAGGAAGCTGCAGAAGATAAGTTTTATGCTATCAGAGGGTTGGTTCATGAAATTTAAGGAAAGAAGCTATCTCCATAATATAAAAGGACAAGGTGAAGCAGGAAGTGCTGATGTATTTAATAGAAGCTGCAGCAAGTTATACAAAGATCTAGCTAAGATCATTGATGAAGGTAGCTGCTAAACAACATGTCTTCGATGTAGATGAAACGGCCTTCTATTGGAATAAGATGTCATCTAGGACTTTCAGAGCAAGAGAGGAGAAGTCAATCCCTTGCTTCAAAGCTTCAAAGGACATGGGCTACTGCAGCTGGTGGACTTGAAGTTGAAGCCAATGCTTATTTATTATTCTGAAAATCTTAGGGGTCTTAAGAATTGACTCTATCTGTGCTATCAGTGGAACAACAAATGACAGCACATCTGTTTACAACATGGTTTACTGAATATTTCAAGCACACTGTTGAGACCTACTGCTCAGAGAAAAAGATTCCTTTCCAAATATTATTGCTCACTGACAATGAACCTAGTCACCCAAGAACTTTGATGGAGATATACATCAAAGTTAGATACATAATGTTGTTTTCTTGCCTCCTAATACGGCATCCATTCTGAAGCCCATGAATCAAGGAGTCATTTTGACTTTCAACTCCTATTATTTAAGAAATAAATTTTGTAAGGCTGTAGCTGCCATAGACAGTGATTCTTTCTATGGACCTGGGAAAAGTAAACTGAAAACATTCTGGAAAGGATTCACCATTCTAGATGCCATTAAGAATATTTGTGATTCATGGGAGGAGGAGCAAATATTAACATTAACAGGAGTCTGAAAGAAATTGATTCCAACCCTTATGGATGACTTAGATATTTAACTTTAAATTTGAGATTAATCAATATCTATACACCCTCCCTCAAATATCTACATGCTCCCCCTAATAAGACAGAAGTCTTAAAATGTTTGAACTCTGATAATCTGCCTTCCAGCTTACATGTTTTGTTATCCAGCATTACTGTTTGATCTTGCTCTATCATTTTTAATCCCACAAATTAAATAACTGATATATATGGCCACTGTTTGTTGAGATTTATTTATATTTACCATTTTCTCTGTTCATTATTCCTTCCTACATCTCAGACCTATCTTCCAAAATTATATTCTTTTTTTCTTAAATTATTCTTTAGAAGGTCCTTTATTGGGGGACTGTTGATAGAAAACTCTGCTTTTATATAAAAAAGTCTTACTTTTACCCTAATTCTTGGTAACATTTTGAGAAGTCTGCTGTGGAACTCATTCATTGATAAGTGATCTGTCTCTTCTCTCTGGTTATTTTGAGATCTCCTTTTCTTCAGTGTTCTGTATGTCTAGGTGTGGATAATTATCTTACTTGCTTGTTGTACTTTCTGCAGAGATCTAAGAATTTACATATCTCATTTATGGAAAATTTTCAGCCATTTATCTTTTTCTACATTGTCTCTCCCTCATTCTCTCCTTCTGGAATGTTTCCTGGAGATACATGACCCATATGAAACTGTAATTTTAGAGATCAAAATTGGTCAAATATTGGCCATCTCACTGAGTTCAACCTAAAGATCTTTTATAACTACTCCCTAACTTCTCTTTCATATTTTCCATTTTCTTTCTCAGAGATCCTTTCTTTTTAGACAGTCTTTTTGACTGTCTCTTCTACTTCACTAATTCTTTCTCAGCTGTGTCCAACTGCTGTCAAGCACATCTTTTGGGTTTTTAATTTCAATGACTTTAAAATCATGTGTGATAGTATCTTATTCCTTACTCATTTTTAAATCCATCTTTTATCTCTTCAAGGATTTTGTATATACCTATTTAATAGTCTACATTCAATAATGCAATATCTAAAGTCTTTTGCAGATCTAAATCTTACTCTTCGGTTCTGGCAACTCAAACTTTTGGTAGTTTACTTCTTTGTGTGTTTGTTAATATTTTGGGGGAGGGAGCCTGACTCGGATCATGGAAATCTGAGGAGACTAGATTTAAACAGTTTCATCCATGGAGAATTTGTATTTATTTATATGGAGTGTCAAGGAATACAGTCATCTGCAACTCTCTCATTTCTTAACACAGAGGTTCCTTGATCATGCAGGAAGTATAACTTAGAACTCCACACTCACGTGAGGATGAGACCATGGTTAACAAATCCAGAAAAGAGACTATATTTAGGCCAACTTGTAATGAAGACAGACATGTTTTGTCCTTGACTCCTTTGGCCAACATGTACATTTTTTTTTTCTAGCTTACCCTTTCACAAGGAGACATAGCCATTTCAAAGATCAAAAAGCTTTATCAGGAGTCTTGGATTCAGTTCCCCATAAACAAAGTCTCTTATCCTCACGAATCTCTAAGCTTTTGTTTTAGTATTTGATGCCAGCTTCCATGTTTTGTTTTGTTTTTTAACCACTCTGATTTCAGTTCCCTATTCATTTTTTTGTTGTTGGCCCTTTAGGTTTCCCTTAATTTTTGTGAGCTTAAGGCATCCTAAAGAATTTTTAAAAAATATATCCAGCATGAAGTGTTTTATAGCTATCAGGCTTTTAGTCTGCCTTACTGCCAGAAACCTACATTCCTCCCTTTTCAGTAATTTCTAAGACAAATGCTAGGGTCTAAATTTCATCACATATATTCCTGTGTTCTATATAACTAATATGGCTTCACTAATTTACGTAAATGGTAAAGAAAGTCAGTCTAATCAAACTGAAAGTCAGAATTACAGAAATAAAGAAATAAAGTTTGATTCATATCAATAGCATAGAGTATTTGATCTTAAACTAATAATGCTTTAAGTACATATACCAATAATTTTAATTACAAGTCACTTTTATACATAGCGTTTAAAAACAGTTTGTTCTTCTAAGAGTTGAGGATGACCCCTGAAATTTTTATAATAATTTGGCAAGCAAATTAATGATTTTAGGTAGCAAAGTTAAACTTTTGCCCAAATAGTACAGAATTCTTAAATAGTGTACAGAAAGAGATTATATAATTATATAATTTACACATAATTGCAAAGCCATCAGACTCAAATTCAAAGCATTATATGTAGATGAATCAAATATTTATCTGTCCTTAGAACGAAAGTTATCAGCTCTCTAGCTCAACTAAATTACTTGACTGAGACATTATAAAAATATGCTTTATTCAGAAAGTTTCATAACCAACTACTAGATCCAATTTATGATATCCTACAAAACATTTTAGCACAATTATAAATTTTAATTTCTTTAAAACTAGCATTTAACACTGAAAAAGAAAATTTTACTATGAGTATAACATTAGCCAATTCTTTACCTCTCCAGCACTTGCACATTCCTTGGCTCTTCTGTGAAGTGCAGCCCACGTATCCTCATACCTAAAAAAGAGCAAAAAATAATTTGAAATGCAAATCACACTTTAAAAGAAATACTGTTTAAAGATGAACATGGAATCGCCGGTGGCAGCAGAAGGGAAAAGCTCAAAAAATAATGGGGACATGTTACAAGGGTAAAGAAGTCAACTTGAAGGAGCTTCCAAATGGCCAAATATGTGACAATTTGAGCAATAAAATATATAATGGTGGTAATGAATTATAACTCCAGTAATAAATTATTACCATGAGTCCACAGTGATATAAATAATTGAATAAATAAATGGAAGAGAAGAGAAAAACTCTTTCTTACAGAATTCTAATTGTTAATTATAGAAGAAATGATGGAAAGAAAATCACCATTTGGTAAACTAGTAGTAATTTTTCAAAAAGAATTCTAATGGATGATAAGATTACTGGATAAAAGCATGAAGTGAAACAGGATTATTTACATAGTCTCAAAGTATCTCCCCACAGGATCCTCGTTAACTAAAAATGGGAAAATAGTAGAGGAGAAACCCCCAGAGCTTCCTTGATCAAATGATCACAATTAATGTCAACAGTAATGAGACACATCATGTGTCTCCTGATATGATGCACTGGGAAGGACACGACATTAATCTTCTAGCAGACTTGCCAAAAAAGCACTAACTTGAACTTAATCACGAGGAAAGAGCAGATAAATCCAAATTGATGTTCATTTTGAAAAATAATTAGTTAGTACTCTTTGAAAGTGTCAAGGTCATAAAAGACAAAGACTGAGGAACTGTTCCAGATTACCGGAGATGAGGGAGCCATGGAGACAAAATATAATGTGTGATCCTGGACTGAATGCTAGTCCAGAAAAAAAGGACACTGGTGGGACAACTGATGAAATTTGAATAAGGTCTATAGATTAAAGTATTTACCAATGTTAATTTTGTGGGTTTGATCATTGCACTATGGTTATATAAAATGCTAACACTGGGAAAGCTGAAATTCCTTGTTCTATTTTTGCAACTATTTTGTAAATCTGAAATTATTTGAAAATGAAAAGTTAAAAAATACAACTCTCACTCTTTTTGCCCGGGCTAGAGTGAGTGCCGTGGCGTCAGCCTAGCTCACAGCAACCTCACACTCCTGGGCTCAAGCAATCCTTCTGCCTCAGCCTCCTGAGTAGCTGGGACTACAGGCATGCGCCACCATACCCAGCTAATTTTTTCTATATATTTTTAGTTGTCTGATTAATTTCTTTCTATTTTTAGTAGAGACAGGGTCTCGCTCTTGGTCAGGCTGGTTTCGAACTCCTGAACTCAAACAATCCGCCCACCTCAGCCTCCCAGAGTGCTAGGATTACAGGCGTGAGCCACGGCGCCCAGCCAAAAATACAACTTCTTAACTATTATTCATATGGTTGCTGATGTAAAACTTGATTTCCCATTTTATCTAAGATTCTCCCTATCCAACTGATAATTCTCTAAATAGAAATACACGTTTTATGAGTTTATACTGCCTCCCCACACAGTCACAGAGAGATTCACAATTTTTCTATTAAATTTAAATAGGAAAATCAATCCAAATCATTCAGACTATACTAGAGTCACACATGTAATAAAAAAGCAAGGTGGAAGATCACACAATTAATATAGCCCTGATGCCACTGTTGACTAACAGAAAGCTCAAAAATTTTCTCTGGTTTATCAGATGGTATAAGTATCAATTAAAATCAACGGGTATTTACTGAATGCCAAGCACTGTTAAGCACCAGAATTCCAGAGATAAATTTTACTTTTGCATGTGTGTTGTATCAGTACTGAGCACAGAGCCTGACATACAAAAAAACTTGTTAAATGTCTGCTGAGTGGAGGAATACATATGCTAATTGCAAATTTAAAATTCAGGGCTTCACAGTAAAATTTTCTATCATTTTCTCCAATCAATGGAAAAGAGCAAATTAATCCTCACTTACCATCTAGACTCCAGATCATTCTTTTCTTCATCTCTCACCATTTCCTTTTCCCCTTATTATGTATGCTCTCCACACCCTCCTTGCCATTATATATCGCCCTTCCTCACATCTACCTTTCTAGTTCAGCACCTAGTCACGATTTTCCTAGTATCTTTGGCATTCTCTAAACCTAGACTATCCCAGCCATTCATTTTCTCTGCTCTACTTCTATGCTATGGAGCACTGTTGGAGAAAGGCATTAAATCCATTACAAATGCATGCTATCCAACCTCACACGGGGCTTAGCTGCCAATCAGTATTTAAAAAAAAATTTCATTCCTATTAGATTGATCCCTGAAGTCCACACAGCAGTTGTTCTACATCTCTTGCAGCCTTGAAACTCATCCCCATCCAACTGCTTTCAACAAATGGATGACCCTGTTGCACCATTCTACTGCAATAAAATCCCTGGATGTAAACTCCTCCAATTTGCCTGTGTTCAAACTCAAATATCTTTAAAATTACAAGTCAATACGGAGGCAATGGAGAAGAAATCATATTAATAACGTAATCATTCCTTCAAAGAATTTTGGAACATATTTTATGTATATTATGGTAGGACTAGTGGGAGAGTTCACGATATAGTTAGAAAGACCAACATACATGTAAATAATTACTTACAAAGGAAGTGTTGATTATAAAGCATTAGATTAGAGCTACAGGAATATAGGAGACTAATTCTCAACTATGTCATACTACACTGCTTAAAAAATTATGATTTCGAATATAGAAGGAAGATGGCAGAATAAGAAGCACCAGGAATCTGACTCCCCATCTAGACCACAGTTGCATTGGCACAATGTGTCTGATGTAACTATTTTGGAACTCTGGAGTCTACTGAAGGCTTGCAACTTCCAGAGGAAGGATGGGAAAGTAAACTGAAGTTAATTTCAGCTTTCAGCACAGTAACAGTACCCCTCCCTCACTTCCATCCCATGGTAGGCAGCCATGCACCTGTTCCTGAAGAAGCTTGTGCACAGCTTCTAAAAGCCAAGATGGGCCAATAAGGACCTGTCCTCCAAGTATCGGGGAATCTGTGCTCTGATCACAATTGCTGCTTCTGATCAGGGAGGAGAAGACATAGAAGCAGCCACTGTTGCAAATTCCTCCCTCTCTGACTAAAGCAATTTTCAGAGGATTTAAAAGGCCAGTGTCTGGTTTTTGTCCCTCTCCATTGTTTTCTTTTCCCTCTTTGGGAGCCAGATACTTAAGGAGCAGGACATTCAAAAGCAACTGCATATGAGGGAATTTAGATAGTCACCATACATGCCCAGTGAAAGGTGCAGGCTCATAAAAGACTTGAGCAGACCTTAAATTTACATTTCTGATCACTGGCACAGAGACACTACAATATTCAAAAAATAAAACAAAAACAGCAAACCCTAGGGAAGGGGAAGAATCTGATCTCCAGTGTTACCATAGCATGCAATTCAAATGTCCAGTTTTCAATAATAAAAAAAATCAAAAGGCATACGTAGAAAAAGGAAAGTATGGTCCTTTCAGAGGGAAAAAATAAATTGACAATGTCTCTAAGAAAGACTAGATGGTGAATTTACTAGACAGACTTTTCGTTTTTTTCAGAAGCTGAAAAAGATGTATTAAAATACATCTCAGCAAAAGGGAGACCCCCGTCTCTACCAAAAATAGAAAACATTAGTCGAGTGTGGTGGTATGCACCTCTGTAGTCCCAGTTACTTGGGAGGCTGAGGCAGGAGGATCACTTGAACCCAGGAGTTTGAGGTGGCAGTGAGCTATGATGACACCACTGCACTCTATCCAACATGACAGAGAGTAAGACTCTGTTTCAAAAAAAAAAACAAAAACAAAAAACAAAACCAATCCTTCTCAAACTCTTCTAAAAAAGAAAAAATGAAGAGGAGGAAACATATCCTAACTCATTCTTATGAGACCATTATTGCCCTGATACCAAATTCAGGCAAGGACATACAAGAAAAGGAAACTATAGACCAACATCCCTTATGAACACTGATGCAAAAAATCCTCAACAAAATACTAGCAAACTTAATTTAGCAGATGTTGAAAGGATTATACACCATGATTAAATGGGATTTACTCCTGGAATGCAAGAATGGTTCAACATATGAAAATCTATCAATGTAATATACCAGATTAACAGAATGAAAGAAAAAAACACATGATCATCTCAACTGATGCATAAAATTATTTGACAAAATTCAAATTTTGTGATAAAACACTCAAACTGGGAATAGAAGGAAAACTAGGAATAGAAGGTATACTCAAACTAAGAATAGAAGGAAAACCCATACCTAACATTATACTCAATGGTGAAAGACTGAAAGCTTTTCCTCTAAGATGAGGAAGAAGACAAAGATGCCTGTTTTTTCTGCTTCAATTCAACATAATACCAGAAGTTGTAGCCACAGCAATTAGGAAAGAGAAAGAAATAAAAGGTACCAAATTGGAAAGAATGAAGTAAAATGATCTCTATTCACAGATGATACGACTTTATATACAGAAAACCCTAAAGATTCCACACAAAAAACTATCAGAACGAATAAATGAACTCAGCAAAGTAGGATACAAAATAAACACATAAGTCAGTTGTTTCTTTATAGTAGCAATGAACAATTCAGAAATAATTTAAGAAAACAATTCCATTTATAATAGCATTAAAAAATATTTAGGAATTAACCAAGAAGGTAGAAGATTTGCACAATGAAAACTACAAAACACTGCTGAAAGAAATTAAAGACAACATATATAAATGGAAAAACATCCCATGTTCATGGATTGGAGGACTTAATATTGTTAAGACGTCAGTAATATCTAAAGCAATCTACAGATGCAATGCAATCGCTTAAAAAATCCCAATGATATTCTTTGCAGAAAGAGGAAAAAATCCATCCTAAAATTCATATGAGATCTTAAGGGACCTTTAATAGCCAAAACAATCTTAAAAAGAACAACAACACTGGAGAACACAGACTTCCTTATTTCAAACCTAACTACAAAGCTGCCAAAATCAAAACAGTGTGGTACTGGCATAAAGACCAGATGTAGACCAATGGAATAAAATAGAGAGCCCAGAAATAAATCCTTGCACATATGGTCAAAAATTTTTGACCAGGTTGTCAAGAGAAGACCATCCAATGGGGGAAAGTACAGTCTGTACTTTGGTGTTGGGAAAACTGGATATTCACACGCAAAAGAATAAAGTTGGGCCCTTACCTAACACTGTATATAAAAACTCAAAATGGATCAAAGAGTTAAAACTATAAAACCCTTAAAACACAGGGAAAAATCTTCATGATACTGGATTTGGCAAGAATATCTTGGATACGACACAAAAGGCACAGGCAACAAAAGAAAAAATAGGCAAACTGGACTTCATCAAAATTAAAAACTTTTGTGCATCAAAGGATACAATCAATGGCGCAAATAGGTAGGTAACCTACAAAATGGGAGAAAGTATTTCAAAGTCACATATCTGATAAGTGGTTAATATCCCTAAAATATAGAGAACTCCTAAAATTCAACAACATAAGACACAAATAAGCCAATTCAAAATGGTCAAGGAATAGACATTCCAAGGAAGATACACAAATAGCCAAATTAAGCACACAAAAAGATGCTATCATTAGTCATTGGAGAAATGCAAATCTAAACCACAATAAGACACCAGTTCACACTCATTAGTGAATATAATAAAATACAAAACAAAACGAAAACAGAAAAATAACAAGTGTTGGCAAGGATGTGAAGAAACTGGAACTCTTGCGCAATACCGATGAGAACATACAATGGTGCAGTCATGAAGGAAAACACTATGATGGTTACAGAAAAAATTAAACATAGAATTATCATATGATCCAGCAATTCCCCTTCTGGATATATACCCAAAAGAACTGAAAGCAAGATGTCAAAGAGATATTTGTACACCCATGTTTATAGCAGCATTATTCACAAAAGACAAAAGGTAGAAGTAACTCAAGTGTTTATTAATAGCTGAATGGATAAACAAAATGTGGTATATACATACAATGGAATATTACTCAGTCTTACAAAGAAAGGAAATTACAACACATGCTACAACATGGATAAACCTTGAAAATGTTATGCTAAGTGAAATAAGCTAACCATAAAAAACCAAATACTACACGATTCCACTTATATGAGGTATCTAGTACAGTCAAATTCATAGAAAGAGAAAGTAGAATGATAGTTGCCAGGGGTAGGGAGGAGGAGGGAGAAATGCGGAGCTGTTGGTTAATGGGTATAGAGTTTCCATTTTGCAAGATGAAAAGAGTTTTGGGGATTGTATGCAGGACCATGTGAATGTACTCAACACTACTAAACTGTACACTTAAAAATGGTTAAGATGATACATTTTGTTATGTGCATTTTATCACAATTTCTTTAAAAATTAAAAAATGATTTAGATATTTGCTATTTAAAATGGTCTTTCCCACACTCAATATTAGTTCCAATGAGAAAACACTGTTTTTCAGTGCAGCGTACAGACACATTATGGACACCTTCCTATAGCTGTAAATTTTTCATATTAAGTCCCAAAATGCATCCTCATCCCAAAAAACTACCACACAAAAAAGTGTATATCTCCAAAATAAATTTTTAAATGAAACGAAGTTATTTCAACTAAGTCTCAAGAAAGAAAAACAAAATGTAAATAGTAAACAGTACATCACTGGTTAATTTTTAATACACTTCCTTTCATGTTCACTTCTATGTTCACTTCTGTTCTTTACTCAACAAAACCAAGGAAAAAATTAATATCACAGCAAGAACTTTTCATTTCAAAGAAGAAAAATCTCTAGATTGAGCAACCATAAAAAGAAACCAAATAAAGTGCTAGAAAAGAGACAGGAAAAAGTAGGTATAAATGACCATGTTATATTAAGTGCAGATAAGGAAAAGCAGTATATCTGTCAAATGACATGTTATTACATATAGAACTGCATGTAACATACTTAAACCATACACTATACTTACTTTTATAATAGATTTATTGAACTATAATTACATACCATAAAATTCAACCTTTTAAAGGGTATAATTCAGTAGTTTTTTTAGTATATCGTACTCACAAAGTTGTGCAACTATCACCACTAATTTGAAAACATTATCACCTAGAAAAGAAACCCCATACGCATTAGCAGTCACTACCCATTCTCTCTTCCCTCCAAACACTGGCAACCATTAAATCTACTTTCTGTCTCTATGGATTTGCCATTCTGTACATTTCATATAAATAGAAAAATACAATATGTGGTCTTTTGTGCCGACTCCTTTCACTCAGCATAATGTTTTTAAGTTTCATTCATGTTGTAGAATGTATCAATAACATATTTTTGTGGGTGAATAATATTCCATTATATGTATATACCACATTTTGTCCATTCATCAGCTGATGGACATTTGTGCTGTTTCTACTTTTTGGCTATTATGAATAATATTGCTATGTACATTCATGTAAAAGTTTTTATGTGGATATATGTTTGCAGCTCTCTTGGGGTGAAATTGCTGAGTCATGTGGTACAGGTTGAGTATCCCTTATCAAAAATACTTGGGACCAGAAATGTTTCGGATTTAGGATTTTTCCCAATTTTGGAAGATGTGCATCATACCAGTTGAACATTCCTAATCCAAAAATCCAAAATCCGAAATGCTCCAATGAGCATTTCCTCTGAGCATCATGTTAGCACTCAAAAAGTTTTGGATTTGGAGCATTTCAGATTTTGGATATTCAGATTAGGGATACTCAACCTGTGATTCTATATCTAACTTTCTGAGAAACTATCAAACTGTTTTCCAAAGTAGCTGACCAATTTACATGCCCACAAACAATGCATAAGTGTTCTAATTTCCCTCCCTACTAGCCAACACGAGGATGTCTTTTTGATTATAGCTATGCTAGTGAGTATGAAGTGTTATCTCACTGTGATTTTGATATGCATTTCCATGGTGACTACCAATGTTGAGCATATTTTCATGTGCTTATTGGCCATTTGTGTATCTTCTGAGAAACATCTCATTCAAATCCTTTGCCTATTTCTTCACTGGGTTGTCTTTTTGAGTTTTAAAAGTTCTTTATATATTCTGGATACAAGTCACTTATCAGATATATATGATCTGCAAATATTTTGCCACATTCTATAGGTTGTCACTTTACCTCCTTGATGGTATTCTTTTTTTTTCAAGAGAGGATCTTTTTTTTTTTTTTTTTTTGAGACAGAGTCTCACTCTGTTGCCCGGGCTAGAGTGCCGTGGCGTCAGCCTAGCTCACAGCAACCTCAAAGTCCTGGGCTCAGCCTCCCAAGTAGCTGGGACTACAGGTATGTGCCACCATGCCCAGCTAATTTTTTCTATATATATTTTTAGTTGTCCGGCTAATTTCTTTCTATTTTCAGTAGAGACGGCGTCTCGCTCTTGCTCAGGCTGGTCTCGAACTCCTGAGCTCAAGCAATCCTCCCGCCTGGGTCTCCCAGAGTGCTAGGATTACAGGCGTGAGCCACCGCGCCTGGCCATCAAGAGAGGATCTTGCTCTGTGGCCCAGGCTGGAGTGCAGTGGCGTCATCGTAGCTCACTGCAACCTCAAACTCCTGGGCTCAAGGGACCCTCCTGCCTCAGCCTCCCAAGTAGCTAGGACTACAGGCACATGCCACCATGACCAGCTAATTTTTCTATTTTTAATAGAGGTGGGGTCTTGCCATGTTGCTCAGGCTGGTCTCCAATCCCTGGCCTCAAGCAATCCTCCCACTTCACCTGTTGAAAGTGCTAGGATTACAGGACTGAACCAACACACCTAGCTGATATTTTTTGAAACAAAAAAGTTTTTAATTTTGATTAAGTCCAATTTATCTTTTTTTTTTTTTTTTTTTTTTTTTAAGATATAAAGTCTTATTCTGTCACCCAGGCTGGAGTGCAGTGGTACAATCATAGCTCATTGCAGCCTCAAACTATCCTCCAGCCTCAGCCTCTGAGTAGCTGGGACTATAGGCTTGTGCCACCACGCCCAGCTAATTTTTAAAAAATTTTTTAGACAGGGTCTCACCATTGATCAGGTTTGTCTCGAACTTCTGGCCTTAAGCAATCCTCCCACCTCAGCTTCCTGAGTGGCTGGGATTATAGGCATGAGCCATCACACTCGGTTCTTTATTTTCTACTTTGTTGCTCGTGCTTTTCGTGTCATGTCTGGCCATGTATTTTAATGTTAATCTGTATGTCAATAAGAATGGATTGGAAGAGACACGATATAAAATTAAGGAAGTAAAAAACAAAATTGAGCTCTCAAATTCAGAATCAATTTTCTTGCAACAAAGCAACCATACATATAATAAATACACATAACAAACTATTGACTAGTAAATACAATAGTGCTCTATCTGCTCAAAATCTGAATGGCCTTTGTATGAATCAGTCAAAAGTAAAATCCCTTAGGGAAAAGAATAAGTAAATAATTTCACATCACTATGTTAATGTAAAATTTAGGTGTTTTAAGGTTTTATCTATAAAATTATAAAATATTTTTAGTCAATAAAATAGTAAGAAGTATAACCTTCCTCTATAAATGAAAACACTTACCTACTAAGTAATTCCAGTCCAGCAGAGTACTTCGGCAAATATGAAACAGTCCTGCTAAAAGAAACACTTATTCTATTAAAATTGTTTCTGATTTAGCCAACTAAAGAAAAAAGTTACATACAAGAATTTCAACATTGCCAATTGTAATATAAGGTATTTTTAAATCACTAATGACAATTTATCTAAACTTTTAGAAAAATGTACTATTTTATTTCAGAGTTAATATAATGAACTATAATTTATTATCAACCATCATTTTGCCCCATGGAGATTATTTTTATCATACAATAAACACTTTAATATAATGCTACATAAGAATAAATATGTATGATCAAAGTTCATCATCTCTAGGTTGAAAGTGAATTTTGGTCACATACTTTGTTAAAAAAAAATTTTAAAAATAGCACAATGCTCTTGTTTTCATGTAAAACAGGTAACACAGCCAAAAAGGCTCACTTGTATTATTTTATTATTAATTTGCTTTTCAGTAATTTAGGACTTTTACTTTTGCTCTTAATACAAAAACTGAAAATGATTAATTGTGATCAAACAATAGCCACTGATTGTCATGGAGTAAAACAATTATACTTCAGCATTTTTCCAACCATTTCACAATTTCGTCAGAAAATTTTCCTGTTACAAAATTTAGAAAAAATCAATAAACTGTTTTGCTGTCAGATGTACTCTAAAATCCATAAAAGTAATTATACTGTTATGAATACAACCAAAAGTTGTGTGAAATTTAAGTCATAGTAAATTAAAATCTTAGCACAAGCTTACCTGGGTTTGCTTTTTACTTTTGCTTCTCTTGACTTGTCACTTAAAGTCTTCAGCCTATAATTCAATGAGTATAAAATGTAATATTTTTACATTTTACAAGATATTTTTCAACCACAAATTTTCACATCTATTAAAATTTTAGGTCAGATAAGCTAATCTTTTTAGCAAAAATTAAACACCTCTGCAAACAGTTGTGTGTTTACCATGTTAGACACCACGAATGGAAAATATATAGCAAATACCTTTATATTTCTATGTTCCCCGAATACCGTTTGTAGAAACACTGATTCCTAAATGTGATCAGAGCAGAGAAACCTAATTTCTCTGGCATCTTTAGAAAAAGTAGTGGTCCACATAAGTGAACTCAATAGGTAACAAAGATATCTAAGCAGCACACTTTATTAAGTAGATACTATCCCAGACATTCGAATCTCTTTGAACATGAGATAATCACATATAAAATGAGATATTGCTGCATATATTCTTAATTATACCACCAAGTATTCATTTCTAAATAGTAACTGAAACATAGGCCCTTACAAAGTCTCTGTAAAAATAGAAATAGGTGCTCCTTCCTCTCAAGACACTTTACTGCTATCAGCCAGAAACGATCCTAACATACAAGCTGTCTCTCCCATGAATGCCTCAACCCTGCATTGTACAGCATACAATTTTTGTGACTATACACACAGGCCCTAAGACAGGATTATATCTTTCCTTTCAATAATGCCTGTTAAGCACCGAAAGAGGACTTCTGATCAAATGCATTTTTAAACCAAATTAGAATGCCAATTTCATACAAAGAGTTTCATATTGCTCTCTGATCTTTTTCGAAAAATAAAATATTGATGAGATTTTCTGTACAATGTTCAAAATATTCAGCAATATTTTTAATACAAAACCAGTATGTGTATCTCCCTAGATGAGTCTAGGTAATTGCATAAAAGTCTAATCTGTCCCAGAGAAACAATATAAATTTCTAAGCTTATCTTGGAAACTAGTAATTCTGGTTTAAACCAAGATCAAGAAAAAGCTAGGGAAAAATATCTTTTATGGCCATGCTCTACTATTTCCACTCCAAAACTTGAGAAAGGCACTTAGTTGTGACATCTCAGACAAAATTATCCTAGGACAGTTATACACAGCAGTACATCACACTCAAAATGATTCGAGGATTATTTTTAGTGACTCAGGACAATTCTACACAGTTAAGTGTGAAAGGGAAGTCCTAAAATCCTATTTGGACTACTCTAATTATATGATCTAGCAAATCTCTAAGTTGATATCTCAAACATTTATTCCTAAAATAAACTTAATTTCTCAATTGTAACATGCCAACTTTCTCTCCTCCATCAAAAAAGAAAAAAAATTAGTTTGGAATAAAAGGGAAAGAAGGAGTGTTATAGGCAGCTGAAAATAAAACCATCAAAAGATTCAATAAGAGCTTCCCCATGTGACACTTTAACAACCATCTGTTTTAAAAATTGGTCTTTAACCAAACGTAATGTGTGGAGCTTATCTGATCTGGATTGGAACAAACCAACTGTAAAAAGACATTTCTAAGAACCAAGGAAATCTGATTACAGACTGCACAATTGATAATATCAAAGAATCAGTGTTAATTTTATTAGTTATGATATTGGCATTGCATTTAGGTAATGTCTGTATTGTTTTTAGTGATGCAAGCTGACATATCAGAGGTTTAATAGATAAATCTTAGATTTATGTCATAAATATATATGTTAGAAATAGGTATATAAAGCAAATGTGGCAATATCTGAAAATTGCTGAATCCGAGAAATGGATATATGGGGTTTATAGCATTATTCTGTTTTTGTGTATGTTTCGAACTTTGTAAAAAACAAAATTTCTTTAGCAACAAAAAGTCTTATAGATAATTCATCTTTTCTCACCAACTCTTTTCCAAATAAATCACCAATGTGACAAAATTCAGAATAGAAGCTGTTGGAGAAAACATAAAGTAGCCAGAGGAAAGTTGGAAACAGTTATAGAAGGTCAGGAGACAAAAAAATGAAGAGTTAAAATGACTATTATTCTTAAGACAAAAAAAGAAAAAGGTCAGATATATTTAACAAAGTAGCAAATATGCAAAAAGTCCTCTCTAAAATACATCCGGGAAATCCAGAATTCATGTGAAAGTAGACTACCATTTTTATTTTAGGATAACTCAAGTTTCTCACACAGCCTCCATGCTGGAAACAACCCATTCATAACATCTATTTACAATCTCAGTATCATGACATGCTGGGAAGGAAATACTGACCTAGGGAGAATACTTCAGTTTCTTCAAATGTAAAATGGTAGCATTATACACAACCATAAAGATTTAAATTCTTGTAAATTCGATAAAATTACAAATATGACCTTAACATCTGGAAACTATAGAGCTTGTTCAAATGAAAAGTATAATAAAAATTATCCTCATCAAGAAAGTTGAGAAACTATATACAACATAACTGGGCCAGGGTGAAATACAGTAGAGGTTCCCAATGCACCAGTTCCTATAAAAGGCTTGCCCAGCCCAGTTTTCAGTCTTCTCCCTAATACCATACACCTCCAGGAAGACATAAGTGCTGCTGTCTGAGCACATTAATATACAGACTTAAGTGAGCCATCTGTCAATTATTTTCTACTAAAGACAACTTTCAAGTTCAAAGAACTAAACCTCAAATTCACCGTAACAGTTCAATAATTTTATTTTTAGATGGCTCCAAAGACTTAACCTTAATTTGACACCAGCACATTTATTTCTTCAAGCTCAGTAGAAAATTCTAAAATGGAATAATCATGTTACTAAGAAATGAAGGAGATTAGCAAAACTGCTTAGACAAAAAGCGTAAAAAGAAGTGGATACTCAGAATGATGCCTTGAGCACCACAATAAATGATGAGCACATCTGCTGGCTGACTCAGTGGTGTGGGGGGGCCTACATGGCATTTCATTTATTTGCACCTCAATCTCCACCTGTTTATAATTATCAGCTATTAGAAAAGATGAGGATGATTGCTTTATAACACCACAAAAGTATATTAATTAGCATATTTTGTCATAAGGCTTAATTCCCTTTTAACCATAATCTATCATATTTTCACATTAGTATTTATCAATTCTCTTCCCCCCACCTTAAACAAGATCAGGGAAAGCAAAAGCATTGATCACACTTAGAAGTGCAAATGACCCCTCAGGTCCAAAGCATGAGAAATTCACACAAAAGCTGCACAGACTCAGGGAAAGGGAGAATAATCTAGACTATCTTTACCCTAATTAACCCCAAATACACCGCTTCAAGTTCTCACCTTTCTCGTGAGTGCATCTGAAATTTCCAACTGCTTCTCAGATGTCAAGCTGCTATTGTACAGCAAATTCACTGTAAACTGCCCCTTCTTTCTCAAACCTATTCTTGAATCCTTTTATGCTGGTATATGACATCATTTATCTATGATACCCCTAAATTAACATTCTCAATTTCTGCACCTTTTTCACCTTCCACATGTCACTGCTGACAAATTTGACCAGTGCCTGTCACATTCATCCTCTCCTTTAAATTTCTATCAGCACTGCCTCATCGTCTCTCACATGGCCCATAATTACAGCCTCCTAAATAATCTCCATGTTCCCCATCCCTAATCGTCCTATCACACTGCCTCCCAAGTCATCCTTCCAGAAATACAGAAATATTTTCCCAGAAATACAGGTAGGCTATTTCCCCCTTAACCTGACTTTTAAACATAGAATTTATGACCTTCTACATATTTTACCTCCTCCCACTAGAATGAGAGTAGGGATCATATTTGCTGTCTGGTTTTTTTTTTCTCCGTTATATCCTCAGCACCTAAAATAGTGCCTGCCATGGAGTAAGCATTCAATAAATATTTTATAAATAAATTAATTAAACAAAGTGTTGAAGATCCTCTATTATCAGGCACTAAACTTCCTTTCCAGCTTCATCTCCCAGGATTGCTTCCATCTCTGAAATGCCCTTACCCAAATCTATCATAATCTTTCCTCATTCTTCAAGGTCCAGTTTTAGAAGCCACTTACTCTTTGACACCTTCTGTAAAGGCATCCTAATTAATGGCTCTTTCCCCTGGGCTCAGATACCACACCATTTGTATCTAACATTCAGTTCATTCTGCTTTGCTTTACATTTCCACCAGTCTAGGGAATCCTGAGGACAAAGACTATTTCAGTTAACTTTGTAGCCCCAGGATCTAGCCCAATATATAGACACCGCTGAGTAAAAACTAGGCAAAACTAAGCACATGGCTTCTCAAATCTTTTTTAAGCTACTATAAAAAAGGACACTTTGAGTGCTTAGCCTAGTGTCTGGCACTTAGCAAGAACTCAGTAAATATTTATTTATTTAATCCAGTTGAATATTGAGATTTTTTTTCCTCCTCATTAGAAACGTTAGTAATCCTGGAAAAGTCAACATTTCGGGCAAAGCGTCACCATTTGAACACACTGTGAATTAGAGTATCGGATCCTCTCCTTTGTGCAGGTTTTGATACTCTGGAGGGAAGAGAGAATAAGGATTCTGAGTGCAGGTGGAGGTCAAGGGCCAGTGGAGGCTTTGACAGAAAATCATTATCTAGCTGCAACAATAAATAGGTTTTTTATCCCTAACCACAGGAACTCAGAGTATTACAAACAGGAAACACCAGCCCGTGACAGGCAGCTATAAACCTTCAGTAAATCTGATTTTCAGTTTCCTGAAGAGTTCTGCACGCCTAAATACCTCAATCCTGAGGGCTTTAGTCATAACTGCTCAAAAGGTAAAAATCAAAGACCAGCGTGGATTTGAAATACGTGCTTCAGAACGTCTAAAAGTTTCCCTCAGAGCTCAAGCCAATCTCTTAAAAAAAAAAAAAAAATGAATGTTCTATGTGAACCCTCCAAAAGGCTCCAAAAATAGATTCTGAGTTTAATCCAATTAGGACTCACTTAGGTGAGAGGAAAAGATGGTGGTGAGACCGGGAACCAATGCCCTTTAGTCCCGCAGCCTCTGGGCCAGCCTGTCATCCAATTGAGGCAGAAAGACTGTGATATATAATTACTAGCTTTTTTCAACGTAGACATACTGTTACAACGAATAAAAATTTATTAAAAAGGCCATATGTCCATGGACAACCTAGAGTTCTCCCAAAAGCACCAGTAATCGCTACACTTCCCTTAAAGAATCATGGTAAGTTGCATTTTTTCTAAGTTTGAATGGAATGTAGAAATTCATTGTGTTCATTGGACACGCTTTAACCACTAATGTGACATTCTGAGACTGATGAGGAATATTTTACAAAAAAAATAAGTAAATTTGCCTAGAGTTAAGTTCCAGTTATATGAATTTTCAGAAACTGAAAATGAGCAGAGCAGCTCTGAGGAGAGGCTGCTGCTCTGGGTGTAATCAGGAGTGACACTGGCCACACTGAAGGAGCCCAGAAAGGCACCAGGCCTTCAGCTGATTCCCTGGGGCAACCTGAACACTTGGCGTTTCCAACTATTTTAAAAGGCAGCTGCTCTGGCTTCTAAACATTTGCTCTGCTACCAAGTGTTCTACAGGAACACCAGCTCCAACGTGAGAGTTTTGGGTGGCCAGAGCCATGCCACTTTCTTTTCGAGACAGTCTTGCTATGTTGTCCAGGCTGCTGGTCTCAAACTCCTGGGCTCAAGCAATCCTCCAGCCTTAGCCTCCGAAGTAGCTGGAACTATTAGGCGCGCACCACCTCAGGCAGTTCATGCCTCTTTCATCTTTGAATCCCACATTGCCTACACTCAATAAACATGTGTGTGCTATGTTTAATTTTGTCTTTTCTCAGCAAAGCAAAAATATTCAGTTATGTAAATTAGGCTGATTTCAAGCTGAATATAGAAGGGTTTCATACAATAGATTAGATGGGTTTTTTCCTTAGTAAGAATAGTGCAGGAAATCGAGGGCCTGAACAAAGTGAACATCAGAGGTTAGAGGTGCTGGTCAACTGGGAGACGGACATCACTCAGAGATGAGTTATTTCTCTGCCAGATGATAGGCTAATGGCACATACTGACAGCCCAGTGGTTTATCAGCTGAAAGTGACAAGGAGGAAGCCAGCAAAGGAGCTAAATGGAATGAAGCCCTCTCAGGATGTCTAATTCTAACATGGCCCCAGACTATAACATCTTCAAGAAGTCAAGTCAGTTTCCAAGGGGTTCTAGATCCCCTTGGCACCTCTCCCTAACTGAATCCTAAACTTTTTGGGTTACCCAGATCTCCCAGGATGGTTTGGACCTGGGCAGTCCAGAGTCCATCATTCTAGGTAAGATCTTCTTAAGCAAAGACTAGGAACAGGAATGGTTCTGAGGCAACCATATGAGCAGGAGAGTAACTACCGAAAGAGGGACTGTTAAGCCATCAAGGAATTCCTTGATGCAGTGATAACAGTAGTGTATGCAAATGGGTTTATATATGGCCACTCTGATTTCAGTATCACACTAAAAGTTTTCAAAACAATAATTTACACTCTGAAGTTATTTTCTAAATTTATCAGGAGAAAAAAACGCATACATGCAAGCACATCCATCAACAAATGACTCCTAGAACATCTACAACTAACATTCTAAAGAACACCAAACTAACAAAAATGTTTTTATATGTGGTAAGCACTAAAGCATTTGACAGCTTGTCACCATTCAGCACCCAATAGGAAAACAGCATAAATATTTTTGTCCCATAAATTGTTGGCTAACATCTCTCCCGTTAGAAATTTAAAACAGTATGGTTGTGAACCTCCCACATTCACAGCAGTCTCCAAAATGATTTGTAAGTTAAAGGTTGAGAGACCCTTTTTAAAGGTGACACCCTTTCTAAAGTAATGAAAACATTAAAGTGAATTAAGTGCAAAGTAATAATAGTGACTTCTTGTCTTGCATGTTAATTCATTAATCTTCGCAACAACTCTATAAGTATCATCATTATCCCCATTTTACAGTCGCAGAAACAGTAAAATGAGGCAAGACAGTTCTTGCAGTAACTTGCAGAAATATGTTTGGCTAAGTGGTAGAGTCAGGATGAGTTACCTAAGCAGCGTGACGCCGGAGTCTAGGCCTGTGGTTCCCAGACTTTAGGGCACATTGGAATAACATGGAGAGCTTTAAAACGCCATCTCCAGGCATTCTGGTTTAATTGGTATAAGGTGTAACCTGGACATTGGGATTGTGATCGTTCCCAGGTGATTCTAAGCAAAGTTTGGGAACCTCTGTGCTTTTAACCACCGGGTATTAACAGCATTGCTATAGTTCTGTTGTTTCTCTTGCCCAAGAGTTCCTTCACCGAGGCGTTGAACCCAGGGCAAAGGTAGACACAAAACGCTGAAGGGAAGAAGCGGCCAGTCTCGCCGAGGGTTAGGCCGGCGAGCAGAACCTGAGAGCTGAGACAGGGAGCGGCAGGGCTCGGTCCGGGCCCGCGCAGGCTAAGGCGCGGGGCGAACCCCCGGCCCGGGGAAGGGGCGGAGGGCCCAGCTCCAGATGGGCGGAGGGCAGGTGTCCCGGAGGCGTTGTAGGGGACGAGGGGGCGCAGGGCCACCGTCCCGCGCGGGCGGAAGCGGGAGTCGCGACCGCCTCTCACATGACTCCCCCTCCTCTGCCCGGCTGATGCTGCCGGGAGGGAAGCGGAGGGGGTCCCACGCACGCCCGGCGCACTCCGCCGCGCTGCCGACCACCTCCCGGTCCTGGGGTGCGAGCCAGAGCCAGCCCGACGGGACCTAAGTTACTTCGCGCCGCCAGACGCGCGGACGCAGGGAAGTTCGTTACTTTCCCGGGCGGGGCGGAACCAGACCCGGCAGCGCGGTGCGGGGAAGGCCGGGAGCGGGGGCATCCCGAGCGGGTCCCTCTCAGTCGCCCACAGTATACCCACCCGGAGGTGAAATCCTGCTGCACGCTCAGCAGCCGCTCCCGCAGGGTCTCCAGCATCGCCGCAGCCGGCCTCCTTCCCTCAGGCCTCGCGCGGCCGCCGCCGCTGCCGCCGCCCTGGACCCCGGCAGCGTCCCGCAGCACCTGTCACCCACGCACCCCGCACTCCCTCGGCCGGCCCGGCGCTGGCCCTCGCGCCGCAGCCCCAGCCCCTTCCGCGTTCCCGCCCCCCGCGCCCCAGGCCGCCCGCGCACTCTCGCCCCGCCCCCGCCGCGCGCCGGGCCCGCGCAGCCGCAGTGGACCGCGCCGCGCTCAGGCCGTGGAAAAGGGGCGGGCCTTCCCTCCTGGCCCAGAAGGCGAGAACCGCCTCGGCGTTTTTCTAGGCTGTGCGAGTCCTTTGGAATAGAAGTGGCATCGTGGAAGGATGACTTACGTTGAGGACTCGAAGCTGTGGTTTTTACGTTTGGAAGAGAGGGAATAAAATTCCTGCATCGATAGCTCGCAGCTCCCTGTAACAAATCATTTTATGGATCGGAGTCCAGGATCTGACCCTACTGGCTTTAATCTTGGATGAGATAGTCAAACATTCCAAGCCTCGGTTTCTTCATTCATAAAATGGCAATAAGAATCAACTGTCTCGACATCCTTACTTGCCGCTCCTTCTTTAACCTACCCTGTCAGCCTTTTGTGCCCTACACACCAGGGAGATAGCCTCTTGCAAGTCACCAGTGGCCTCCGTGTTGCCAGTAGCGCCTGTTTACTTCTCTGATTTTTTCTTTACTTCTCAGTGCCTCTCAATGCAGTTTATCATGCCGTCCCTAAGACACATTCTTCTCTTGTCTCCAAGCACTCCATACTTCCCCTCTCCCTTCACCCCCTTCTCCTATTTCCACAGCTGCTCCGAAGGGTACATCCCAGCTCCTGCTCTTCTCCAAATGTGCTCTCTCCCCAGGTGATTCTATCAAGGCGCTGATGACTCCCAGATCTCCATCTTCAGCCCTGTCCTTCCTCTCAGTTCATACCAGTTGCCTACTCAACATGTATCCAACAGGCATCTGAAACCAACATACAGAAAACTGAAAATTTCATTGCATACTCACCTCGTAACCTGCTCGTTCTGTCTTTGCCATTCAGTAAATGGCACTACCATCCACCAAGTTGCTCAAGTTAAGACACTTGAAATCACACCTGGTTTTTCTCTTTTCCTCATCTTCCATATTGACTCATCAAGTCCAATCAACTTTATTTCTAAAGTATTTTGGAAGCTGCTCACCTTTCTACTTCTTCAGTATAATCAACGCTAGTCCAAGGCACCATCATCATTCACTAGAAACATTGACAGTTCTCCTTGATTCTACTCTTGCCATCCACACCCCTGTAATCCATCCTTGACACAGCAGCCAAAGAGAATTATTTAAAAGATAAATCAGATCATGTTGCTCACCTGCTTAAAATCCTCCAATTGCTTCCTGTGGACTTAGAATAAAATTGAAACTCTTTACCCCAGCTTAGAAAGTCCTAAAATTTGAATCCTTTGTGACATTCTATCCAGACTGATCACTACTTACCTATCATGTCCTTGACACTCAAGCCATACTAGCCTTTTTCTGATTCCTTGAAAATTCCAGACTCATTTTTACCTTGAGGCCTTTTCACGAGCTTTTCTCCAAACAGTCCCTAGGTTGCCTCCTTCATGACATTCAGGTCTCAGATTAAATAACATCCCACAAGATGACTGTTCAAGTTACCCACCCAACCCCTTCCTATCACACATCCTGTTTCTTAACTTATCCACTAGAAAATTTAATACTTGTTTAATTAATACAATTATTTATTAATTTATTTGTTTACAAATTTATGTTAAAACCAGGGCTAGGATTAGGGTGAAGCAAATAAGGCATTCACCTCAGGTACAAAATTTAAGGGGGAACCCAAAAGCTCAGTGATTAAGATAACCAATATTTTAATGCAATATTTAAAAATTTAAAATTAGAGAAAAAATATATGATGAACAAAATATCAAAATTTTAAATAAAGACGGGCTCCAATAGGGCTGGAATTGGATGAGGGAGTGAGGTGGGAGGTACAAGAACAGGCCCTGTTGTGAATTGCCCGTCTTATTAAGCTGTGTATCCCCAACACCTAGAGTAGTAAATGGCACACAGCAAACACTCAATAAATACTGATTGTTTTGTTGAAGGAATTAAATAAGATAAAGTGCTTGGCTTATGGTTGGGGAAACACCTCTTCCCCATTCTTGGTGCTTTTTTCCATGTGGAGGAATCTCCTCCACTAGTATAACACACCCAGCCTTTCCTGGTGGAGAGTAGGTGATGATGATGATTGGTAAGATGGGAAATAAGGAGCTTGGTCCTGTATCCTTTCGTTTTTTTCACCCAACAAAGAGCATTCATTCTGTCACATAAGGACAGGCTGCTAGGGTGACCCAGTGCTTTTTGTGACCGGGTGGGCAAGTCTTAACCTGAAGTTCAGTATTAGGAGATCTACTTGCCCGTGAATACAAGCCATGTGCTTCATCAGCCTTCCCTGAAATAAAACGGATGTTTGGACTCTATGCTGACTCTACCGTCTGTCTCATTTTTCAGTTGGTTCACAAAAGGAAGAAAGAGGGGTGTTGTTTACTGAGCCCTTTTCTACCTCTCAGAAATAGTACCTGGTACAAAGTAAGTGATCAAATTATCAACTCTATAAAGACTAGACTAAGGTGCCTTAGTATCTGGCAGATTTGAAAACCACAGGTACTGGGAAATATTTAATCTTTTTTCTTTTATTCAATTAAATAAACTCCTCTCCCTATAAGCTTTCAATTTAATAAGTTTCATAGATTCTAATAAATCACCAACTCAGTGCAAAAAGACCCTGCCTGTCACTAAAAAATAGCTTTACTAGTCATGCCCAATCATTTCTGTCTTGACTGATGCATTGCTTATTAGTGGCATGTTTATGCTTTGTTTTGAGATGTTTTATGCACATTCTTACCATCATATCTATTAAATTCAAAAACAGTGAAAGTTCAAAAAGTATCAATAAAAGACCATCTATTATAAAGAAACAAAAGTAAATGTTAAAAATGTAATTAAAGAGAAAATGACTATTGCTGCACATGGGTTGTTCAGGAGGAACGATCAAGGACCAAGAGCTGAAGCATGTAGCATGTTGTGTTGACACAAGTGACAGTACTCAGCCAGATACTAGAAAGATTCATTGGCAAAATGAAAAAACAAAGCTTTGAACTACAGTTTGAGAGCCAACATCAGTATGGAGGCTATTGGTCTAATCTTGATTCAGGAATTGTTGAATTGATTTGAGAGTGTATTAGCTGAGTGCAGGGAAAGCTTTGGTGATGGAACATTTGGGGTGAAAACCAAAGCTGCTAAGATGTTCCCTGGGCTAGTGCTTCCCCACCCAGCAGTGGAGGTATCACCTGGGAGCTTCTTGCAAATGCAGAATCTCAGGCCCCACCCAGACCTACTGAATCAGAATCCGAATTTTATCGAGATCTGAATTTTATCACCAGGTGATTTATATTCCTGTTAACATGTGAGAAGCACATCTCCATGACACTCACTGAGGAAAGGGGGTTTCCTGTCTCAATAGATTCTTACTGTAGACAGAGTGATAAATGAGGATTTGGTAGAATTAGAATACAGAGCAAGCTGCTATTAAAGAAGAGGCTGTAGGACCCATAAGATTTCACACCATTTTATTAGCAGAGGTCTTTTAGAGTAATTGGAAAGGCACTATAATCATTTGAGTTACAGAAACCTAATTCAGATTTATAAAGGTATTTACAGTGTATGTTTATTAACTTATTTGTGATTTTTTTAAAAGGTAAATATTTTTGATATCTTTAATTTTTAAGAGTTTAAAGATGCTGGAAGAATCCATGTAAAAGCTCTAAATGTTTCTTGTGAAGCAATGAGTATTTCTAATCATAAGATAAGCTAGATAAAGCTGGAAAGGTGACATCAGCATGGCATTTTGAAAAGGAAAGCAGAGATAGAAACCAGGGAGTCAGAGGAGGGGAATTCCAACCCACGGAAGCAAAGATTAGAGTGCAATTGGAGAACAGAAGTAGGGTAGAGGACATCAAGGTCTGAAGACAGAAGCTAATAGATCTAGATGGCAAGCACTGTCTGGAGTTACATCTGGGACAGCAAAGTTGGGAATGAGTATTTTACATGAGATAAACTGAAAGAACAGTCAAATGGCATCTCAGCTGCATCTATTTGAATTCCAAAATTTTATTCTACTATAATAAAATAAGTGGACACCTACCCTTGTCTTTTGCTCTCATGAAAAAAAGAAAGGTACTACACCATGCATTAGAGAAGCCTCTTTTTTTTGTTGTTAATCTATGTTTGGACCCACATGATCTATAAAATATTCATAAACAGCCAAGTGAATCCATTCATCAAAGTGTAGGGAGTCTATGTGAGTAAGGAGACCACATCTTGTACTCTTACAAACAAATGGATTCCCCTAGAGAGAGTATATCTCAAAAATTACGTCTTCTGAACTACTATGGCATAGAAATATCTTTGATCGGGAGAACTTAATAACAAACCAAAACTCTTTAATAAGAATTAGTAACAAAGAGTTTGAGACCAGCTTGGGCAACATAGCGAGACCCTGTCTCTACAAAAAAATTTTAAAATTAGTTGGGCATGTTGGGCATTAGTTGGTGCATGCCTGTAGTCCCAGCTACTTGGGAGGCTGAGGGGAGAGGAGTTCGAGGCTGCAGTGAGTTATGATTGTGCCACTGCACTCCACCCTAGGTGACAGAGTGAGACCCTGTTTCTAAAAGAAAAAAAAAAAGAATTAGTAGCAAAAAAAAAGAGAGACAAGATTGAGACAATTATTACCTATAGTTTATCAGCGCAATACATGCAAGGGGAAAACCCTAATAATTAATTAAAATAGTTGATAATTATAATTGCAATTAAGTTAATGGTTCTCAAGCCTGGATGCACCTTCAAATGGTGTGGTGAGCATTTTATAATAAAAATACCAATACCTGGCCTCAATCCCCAGAGCATCTGATTTAACTGATCTGAGGTGATGCCTCCTCATCCATATTGTTTAAAAGCTTCCCAGGTGATTCTAAGGTGCAGTTAGGACTGGAGCAACTGAGATAAGCACAGAGACCTGAGCCGCCCTGCAGAGGAAGGCAGCAGGAGCCCTTGCTGAACAGCAACTGTGACCTCAGAATCCA